CATGGCCGAGCTGCTCTACACGCCCATCACACACAACTAAGCCACCCGAATTATCGAACACGCTAGCATATGACACGTCGTCTACGAGATTCGCGGTCGAGCTTGGTTTAGGAGTATCGCTTTGCGGCGATCGAGAGCAGGGTCAAGATGGCTACCAGCCCGCCAAGCAGCGGAGGCCCGCCAAGCAGAAGAAGTCAACAGGAGTCCGGACGTCAGCTGCGAGGTGAAAGCCGGAGAGGGCTAGATAAACGTCATGCGAGAGAGCGAAGAGTACGAGGTAGGCCAGCAGCAGGGAGCGCGCCTAGAACCATCGACCACGCCCGCGGACGACATCCCCCTGACCATCGCGCGAGCCCCCGACGGGCGGCTCAGCGCATTACAGCAGCACCACTTCCGCTACTAGGGTCCCAGACCCGCTCAGGCACGTGATGAAATGATCATGTCCTCTGTCCGAAGACGAATATGGCCTTGTTTTGTGTTCCGAAAGTTTTTTTTTTTTGTCTTGTGTCTGAATCGTTTCCTGTGTTGGGAATTCTGCGAAATGTGTGATGTTGGGATGAAAGAGAGAGTACGGTTGTCCCGAACGAGATAACTGAACGTGTGAGGGGTTATCAAGCCACCAACAGCACGTATGAGGGGATGTTATGCTTCCAAGAGTTTAGTTGCCAATCGTGCAACGAAAAGAGTATGAGGGGCTTTTATCACACCAAAAGCAGTACGGTAGTAAAAAAAAAAAAAAAAAGATGCGTAACATTGTTTGTGGGACTACCACGTCACCACCGACACAACAGCAAAGCGTGGACATCATTACGCATTTGAAGGACAGTCAGAATTCTTGACGCAAGCACGTAGGATTTCATGGCAAGTTTGTAGGAGATGTTGGGTAGAATTTCGCTGGAGAGAACAGCAATATGCGTGGCAGGACCTCGGCGAAAAGCGAGACTTGACCCAAGACTGACGTTTTCCGACTAGATCGTAGAGAAAAACAGTCAGAGGCATGACTCAGCCAAGAAGCGAGGTTGACCCAGAAACTAAATTCTCGACATCGTAGAGGACAGCAGTAAGAGCCAGTACTCAGCATGACGCGGAGCAAGATCCACCAAATGCGTTCCTCCGAAGAGATTACTCAAGACCATTTCAGTGGCAGAACACGAACTTTGAAGTTACACGGCGGGAGCAGAAGAGAAATTTTGGATGCCCAACTGTATTTTATTTTGTTTTGGTACAGCAGTCACCCCTGTGCAGAACCGGGGGGAGTGTTGTGGAATGTGATTCTCCTCAGGAGTGCTGTTTTATAAGGAACTGATTGTGCCACCATCTTCCCTTCCGAACGCGCGACCTGCCCTCCACCGCTGCCGAGTCAATCCTTCTGGAGCGACAATTGTGGTCTCCCCCAACGAAGGCGGACCATTTACTGACGATGCTCCAGCCGCGGCCAGCCGGACGAAGAGCACAGAAGGCGACCGCGAGGCGAGCGAAAATCCGCGGGGGAGAAACAATGGCAGGGGCAGTGGTCCAATGCGCTGGGGTTTATGGGTAGAAAAGTAGGCGCATTGAGGCNATTTACTGACGATGCTCCAGCCGCGGCCAGCCGGACGAAGAGCACAGAAGGCGACCGCGGCGGAGGCGAGCGAAAATGCGCGGGGGAGAAACAATGGCAGGGGTAGTGGTCCAATGCGATGGGGTTTACGGCTGGAAAAGTAGGCGCATTGAGGTTCATATTGAGTTTGATTTAGTTTGAGATTTGGCGTTTGTTTTGTTTGATTTAAGCTTGGGTTTGGTTTTTCAGATCTGATTGAAGTGTGGTTGAGAGGATCAGAAGTACTGTTTTTATTTTCGGCACCTCTCGTATTGTTTTTCGGCTTGACTCCGACCCCTTCACAAAGCAGGGGGGCGGATCCTCAGAGCAGGGGGGCACGTTATATTCTTTCAAACGAAATGGCGTTGCTGACATTCTTCACCGAACTTAAATGATATATTTTGAGTATTTCAGGGAGATGGTACTTCTTCGCGTTTTACCTGCGGACGAAGGTTTGGTGGATGAATGGAATAATGTGTCTTAGGATTGCATACATCTTGGTAATGGTAGGGTCTCTAGCAAGGCGGATTTAGAGACGCACCGAGATATTGTGACGAATTGGCGGTGAAAGGAAAGGCGTCTTTGAACGGCGTTCGTCATATTTTTCTGGATGAAAAGAGTTTGAGTTGAGAATTTTCAGAAGAGAGCGAG